TATGTACTATGTTAGTCCATGCAGGTATGCAGTAATTCTTTGTGATAATACTTCCTCTGTTCGGTTTTAAATGCAACACCCAAAATGGCACGGGAATTAAGAATCTTAGAAGTGTTGTTTATTCCCATTCTACCCTCAATAGCTATTATTATTGCAACACTGTCAAACTACTCTAACTATCTATAACATTTTTGTTTCTGCAAGAATCTATCTAGTTATCTACCAACTACGGTGCTCCTTCTCTTTTATCTCTTCCGGTCAAATGAGCTAAAAGTTTATAATGAAGCTCTCCACACAAAAATTTGATGTGGTTTATTGATACAGTCAGGTTCCAACTTCATCGACTATAAGGGTTTTCTCCATATTCGATTCCCTTTGATATAGCACTGTTGATATCTCATAAATTGGCTGATGAGTATCTGGAACAACCTAATTTGCCTTGTCTCTAGTCGGATCATGAAAGGAAGCTTCCGGAGCGAACAGATTTGCATCTTAGTTTTTGGCCTGTTTATCTCCATATACCGCTTTAAAAATAACGAAAATCATATTTCTAAAAAGGAGGATGTTGAGTGGAAAGAAATTAAAGAAGGAAATGGTAGTTCTTCACTTGGAAGAACAATAGAGAGTTTGTGCAGGGTGTGATTTACACAGAATATAACCATAACAGAAAAGTTGAAGAAGATGAGAGCGAGAAGAGGTTACTGGGGGCGAATCATTCGTTAGTTGAGAAGATCAATTTGGGTGAATAGCAATATATTTAATAAACTTAAATGACTATTAAACGGCTGTGAGTAGGGGTCTTGTAGTCATTATGGCTATTTTTTTCTTACCAAAAATAGAAAGTTGCAATAATTTTGAAACTGCCGAAAAGGGAAGTGTCGCAATTATTAAAGAACGGAAGAAGTATTTTATAAGCTCCTGTTATATGCTATTATTACAAGAACTTCTATAAGTGTTAATAACGAAATCTTCTTCTTGGTGGTCCAGTGCTATTTGCCTTTTAGTTCCTTGGATATTCTTGGAGAAACCAAAGATGGAGGCACAAGAGACATGGAGTTTTCAACCTTTTATTCTAACTCTGAATTCTCTATGTACCTTTGCTCTCAATCTCTCAGTTTTCCTTGTGATCTCACATACAAGCGCCCTCACCATTCGCGTGGCTGGAGTTGTCAAAGATTGGGTGGTTGTGCTACTATCAGCTCTACTTTTTGCAGATACAAAACTCACACTCATTAATATATTTGGTTATGCTATTGGTAATGGTTATTTGTTTCAATAAACTTTACATTGAATTCTTCTTTGTGTTTTGTACCTATGGGTGTGGGTATTACACATGCATAATGATACATATGCTGGAGAGGGTTAGGGAAACGTTGAGTAAACAGTAAATCTCAATTTACTCTCATATTATCCAACTCACTTATTCACTTTGAGATAATCCTACCATTCCTCCAACACTTTCATTTCCCTGTACATATCATTATCTTTGAATGTGTTTGTGTGTGTATATAGTGAGAGAGAGAGAGCATTTGATTTAGGCATGCTGATAAGAATCCCGTCCAGGCCGCTTCACTTTTGGCCTGAATTTACTATCTAGATTTTTCCCACCCATTGACATCAATTAGTAAATCTATTTTTTTCTTGATGTAAAAATTTGAATTTTGCCAAAGTTAACTCTAGTTTTAAGGCTTATATACATATTTGGTCCCTGCAAATATGACACATTTTGCTTTAGATTTGTACAAGTTTATGTTTTATTTTTTGTCCTTGTAATATGTACTTTTTTCTTTTTAGTCCATCTCTGTCTTCGACACCCCTCCATTTAGAAAAATTTAATGTTGGTTGCATAAATCTACCAGAAGTCCAGAAGTTTTAAAATTAATCCTTTTATTATTTTCGAAGGATAATATTGGAGTTAAAACATTGTAAAGTTTTTTTTATGATAACATTGTAAAGATAATCATTCACATTTTTAAAATTGGTTTTAACAACGCTCTAAAAGGTAAAACTGTGTATTTTTTAATTACATGACATGGAATTAGAGGAAATCTGTTATGTTATAAAATGGAGCTTTTTATGATCGGTGAAGGACTAATAGGAAAAGCAAGATAAATTACAAGGATGAAAAACTAAATGGAGTAATATTTTCGCAAGGACTTAAAACAAGAAGCACTTTATTGTCAAGGACTGAAAACAAATATAAGCCTATTTTCATGATGAATATGATCAAATCTTATTTGTGCATGGGTAATTTCCTATAAGGCATGCCTGACAGGGAGAGCATTATATGTGTGTGTATTCTGTTTAGCAATGAACAAATGCTTGAGTATATTAGTTCTAAGAATTCTCTTTAATTTGTGTTGCAGCTATCGCTGGGGTCGCTGCATACAATAATCACAAGTTGAAAAAGGAAGCTTCACGACCCAGCACCGAGGAGACTGATCCTTCTCAATCAATACCATTAGTTTCAAATTCTGATAAATAGTCACAGACGGAGCAGTCCTGCCCTCGCTTGTTCTGCAAAAGATAATGCTTTGCAGGCAATCCCGAAATCTAATCCAGTCAGATACTCAGATTGAATTTTTATGTTGTCGGCAGCTTCTGAATTGTGCAGTGTACATGACTGTAGAGAACACATGTTACAGAGACTTGATAGTAACACAAGTTATTGCTCAGACCATCCAAATTATAGTTTGATCATTTTATCTACCATACATATGGGAATGATCAAATTTTTGAATATTTTTGTAGCAAATAGTAAGACACTCACTTACTCACTTGGCATTGTTGTATGTAACAGTTTGAACTTTGAAGTATTCTGCTTTCTAGACACAAAATTTGTGTTTATGGTATAAAAAAGACATAACTTTTACAGTTTGTTTCGGGTTTCTTTGACTATTCATAGAATCATGTTTCCTATAGCACACTGATGACTGATATGAATATGGTTTATGGAACATTGATACAAAGTTCTTTTAGGTGTATATGAAACAATGCCAAAGCCCAGGAGGAACAAATTTAAAAGTGATGGATTTCTTTTGATTCAACTGAGCTTTGTGCTATAAACTGTTGCGTGGAAGTGTAAGAAACATGGGGAAAATAAGTGTATTATTAAGATTGTCTGTAGCATTGTTTCTGAAACGGAAATGTGTGTTTTTCTAGACTTTATGTGCTTCAAAGGCTATAAAGTATAAACCAATGACCATGCTTGAGGGGTTTTGGTAATTTTTCTGCACTCTTCAACAAAATCACTCATTTGAAAATGGAGCTATGTGATGCCTTTTAATGTTTTTTTTATGTCCAATCCAAAATTCTTTTTACTTAATATATTACGAAGTAATAAAAATGATTTAAACACTCATATGCTCTTATTTAATCTTGCTCTCTTAAATAGATTGAGAGTATAATCATATGAGAAACTTCTAGGAAGTAGCTGCGCATAGATTAATAGAATGGTGAAATCATAAAATGATGATGCTTTTCGTCTTTTATGTGAAATACGATAACTAATTTAATACGTGGAGTTATCTTATTAATATAGTATACATGTGGTGCACGAGTGATTACTTTTATTCACTTATGTACTAAAATATGCAAAATCACTTAAAAGAATGATAAAAGATACGAAGTACTACGTATTAAAAACAATTGACCGAAAACATAAAATAATAGTCTTACAAAGCGTGAAAGACTACTATACTCCTATTTGCTTACCACTTTTGTCATATACTAGTATACTACTATACTACTATACTATCTCTGTTCCTAAAAATACTTCCCCGTTTGACTTGACACGCTTATTAAGAAAGTGAAATAAAGTGAAAATGTATGGTTGTAGTTGTGTAAGAAAAAAGTAAAATGAATGTGAATCACACAAATTGTCCAAACGGTCCAAAAAGGAAGGTGGGAAGTATTTTCAGGAACGGAGGGAGTAACATTTTATCGATACAGTTTATTTATATTTTTGTTTTTCTTTCTCAATTCAATATCAGTGTACACATAAACTCACTTTTTTAGTAACCAAGTCATCTCCTCTTGTATATTTCATTGTTAGGGGACAAGATAATAATAAATAAAGGGAAAACTATCAAATAAGCCCCGTACTATACCGAAAAAGTCGATTCGGCCCTTGTACTTTACAAACACTCAATTAAGTCCTCGAACTATTAAATGTAACTCGTTTCCAGGCAGCCGCCGTTGCTGGGGTTCGAGCACGTCGTCGTCGTTTAACCGGGAAACCAGTTACTTACCGACCAAAAGAGCTTAATTGAACGTTTTTTAATAGTTTGAGGACTTAATTGAGTGTTTCTAAAGTACGAGGGCCTAATCGACTTTTTGGGCATAGTACGAGGGCTTATTTGATAGTTTTCCCATAAATAAACCATTCAACGTGAAAATTCATATGAACTGATTTTAATCTATTTCATTATCACCACTTTATAATTGATGTCCTACTATGAAGTCATAATTGATGTCCTACTATGAAAATAAGTGAATAATTCCATACAAGCCTTAAAAGACACATTGAACTCCATAAAATGATCCAATATATTTCAAAGAGATTGAAAGTAATAATCGTAAAGCATGCAAAATTTTAACCTGAGAATGGAAAAAGCACCATCAATTGTCTTAAACATTGCCTTGACATTTAACATATGTTTCTAATCCTATTTAGATATAATATAAGTTATTTTCTTTCAAAAAAACATATGTTTCTAATCCATTTTTAGATATACAACATGACTTCCTTGAAATTGCATTTTCCATTACAAATGCAAATATCCAATATATCCTAAACGAGGTCAAACTGAATTTCCATAGAGTAAATACGGAGTATAACATATCAAAGTGGGGGGAAAAGTGCTTATTTATTACTTGTAGAAATCCTGCCTCATATTACTAGGTGTATGCAAACTACTCATGAATAATAAGTAAATTGTAAATATCATTGCACAAAATGGTAATTATAAGTGTAACATCATAGTTAGTGTAGTGCAAAATTAAACATGGATGTAATACATAAATGCTTCTATATAATCACTACATATATAAGATGTCACATTTTAATCCATTATCTTATGTAAAATATGCTCAGATATGTCATTATTCCATTTATTTATAAAGTACGTACATAATACATCATGTCATAATGTTTCATGAGTTGCTACTTGCTATAACATAAGACAAGTATGTAAGATTGTAAGTTGCCCACCCACTTTATTTGAATCAAGATTTATTTGAAAAGCATTTAATTGACTTTGTGATTTTTCTCTTCAGTCAATCAATTCCACTTGTTTTCCTCATCTTCAAAACAAACACAGAGAGCTCCAAAGGGTCAGTAAGACTGCTGGAGATGGCCTTATTATGCAGGCACCTTTTGCCCCATTCAAACAACTTTGGACACTGTGCCTCTATGTTGAACCTCACATCATTCTCCAAAGCCAAAAGCCATGTATAGTATGACATCAAAACTAAATCCAAGAACCCAATGCTCTCCCCTTCCCCTCCAAAATAAGAGTTTCCTCCAAGCTCCTCTTCCAACAACTTCAAGTTGTCTGCTAGTTCCTCTGTAATGGCTTTTCCATCTTTTGTTTTAGACATCCATGCCATTACCCCCTCATAGATCTGCACAATATTGTTAAGTCATGATAGTCACTCAAATTCAATTAAGAATACAAAACCACATAAGGAGTACTAGTATAATATATGGAATAAATATTACTCCGTATTACTATATACAAGTATACAATAATAGTCAGGGGAAATTTGAGTTTGCACCCCATATTATTGTCCAAATTGAACTTTGCACTCCGTTTTTAAAAAAAACTTTGTTTTTGCACCTCAACCCCGTATGGAAATACAAAAAATGCCCCTCCATTAACAATTCGATTGGCCTTCAACATATTCCTAAAGAGAGACATTTTTGTCTTTTCATATATGGTTGGGGTGTAAAAACAAAGTTCTTAAAAAACGGAATGCTAAGTTTAATTTGAACCATAAAATGAGGTGCAAACTCAAATTCACTCCAATAATAATAATAATAATAATAATAATATATACACCCGCATAAGATCTACTCTGTAACATACGGAGTAATATAGAAATATAATGCAAAAATGGTGTAGCCGTAACAAGATAAATACTCACAAGTATGACTTGTATGGCAAATAAATAGAGTGATATATAGACTATAGAGTGATATATCAAATTGAAACCTTGTATGGCATTATTCAGAAAAATGCTGAAAACAATGAAATTAGCCGTAAAAAATAGAGTGATATATCAAATTGAAACCCATGAAAAGAGTTTTTGAAATTGATTATGTTTTTGCTTCTTTTTTAAAAGCAAAAATAGAATCAAAATCAGTTTTTTCAGAAGTAGATCAGTCCAACTTCTAAAAAACTGCTTCTGTGAGCAATTTAGAGCACCTGAAGTATTTATGCACTTTCACAATTTCAATCAAACACTCCAATATCGGCTGAAGCAGTTTCAAAAAGTAAATCCAGTCGCACCCCAAAACACACTTAAGTTATTTGTTGGTCCGATTTCAATCATGTAGTTTTTCAAAATCAACCCAAGATGGAACACAGGAACATACTCAGTTCAAAGTGACATTTTAAGTTTATACAGAGTATCAAGTTGGAATTTTTTTTTGGGTTTTGTACCTTCTTGTCAATAAAATCAGCCCAGAACCTGGCTTGAGCTCTCTTGTAAGGATCAGAAGGCAACAATGGAGTCCTTTTATTCCAGACCTCATACAAATACTCAAGAATGATGAGGGACTCACAGACCGGCTTTCCATTGTGAATGAGAACCGGGATCTTCTTGTGAACCGGATTCATCTCCAGCAAAAGTGAGCTTTTGTTCCGCAAGTCCTCTGTTTTGGACTCGAAGTGGACATCTTTCAGAGACAGGGCCATTTTTACCCTCATCGCGAACATGCTCACTCTTGTACAAAGTAGAATCACCTTATCTTCTTCACTAGCCATAATTAAATCTTTGTTCTTCTATGCAAAGATTAAGGAAAGCTTTTCTCAAGGTGTTTAACTACCAAAAATGAATGTGTGTTCTTGTTCTAGTCAACTGATATTTATAATCCATTTTGGATAGTCACTCTTATTCACAAGTCATAACCTGTCTTAGTCCATGTTTTGTTCATCTTCCCCCTCCATTCCATAAAATTCTTCATGGTTTAATTTGGATCACGTTTAAAAAAGTCACAGTAAAGTCAAAATGCACGTGCGATTGAGTAGAAAAAATGTAAATGAATTCTAGCTCTATAAAACTTTTCAAAAAAAAATGAAAAGTTTTTTAAGACATTTCAAATAGATAAATGGGAAAAGTTTTAGAGGCAGTATAATTTGTACGGCGTATTTATTTAGTCAGGTAAAATACCATGTGCTTGATGGATACAGTTTCTTTAGACTTGTAACCCAAGGGAGGATCTATGCACGGGATATGACAAGTTGAAATCCAGGGAAACTTGGAAAATTTCCAATTTTTTAGCGTAATTTTTTTTTCTTCATTTTTTCACGTTTAGTCCACCCCTCTAATATTTAAACCTAGCATAGTCCTCAAATTCCTGGATCAGCACGTGCTTGTAGGATCTTCTGCTTTTGGACAAATAGGGTTTATGACTTTCTGGTATTACATGGTTAGGTCCTCTCCATGCGTTTAATATTGCTCATGTGGCACGTATTTTACATTTTTACTGACCTGACTAGCTTTTTTCATTTTGGATCTTACATGGCAACGTGTATCACCCAAAGTGGTAATATGAGTATCAATTTTTTTTTTTTGAAAAATACTTCGTCTATAATTAATGAAAATTATTTTTTTCTAAATTAATTTATCACTCGTTAGAATTATATTGTTAATGATGGAAATGAGCTTAAAATATAGAAAGGAATAAAAGTCAAATTAGACACTGATTACATGAGAATCTCATATTGATATTAAGATTTCACATGGACCAAATTGGACACTATGGTTAATGGTACATACTTACATGTGTATTTCATATTGGATACTAAAGTTTCAAATGGATCTTGAACACTCATCAAATAATTTTCCATTTATTAACTATAAAAGTATTCCTTTTCTCTATGTTTTATGTACCTAAAAAATAAAACTAACTTCGTGTATTTAGATTTCGAATATATAATAAGATGTTCCAATTAAGAAAATTTATTATAATGCAATTGAATTCCTTAATATCATTCAATCAATTCGACCTTTTTGTGTTTTAGTATAGGGATAAGGTTGCGGACATCTGACTTCCTCTTATTTACTGTAAGTGGAAGCTTTTGCGACACTACGTGAGATAACGTTGTTGTTGTTGTCGTCGTCAAAAGTAGCGGTTGCACAACATTAGTCTACAAATAAACAAGAAAAATCCTATGCAAATTATATTATTATATCGTTTATTTAACTGATCATTACAAACATTGTTCTAAAAACCGACCTAGTCGGACCGATCAATCAGCCTAGTCGGCCAAAACATCTGCCCAGTCGGCCGCCTATGCACTAGGCGCCCCTCAACTTCCCGACTAGCGCCTAACGAGCTTTAGAACAATGATGACGAGCAGTGGCATATCCAGAAAATCTGTTCAGTGGGGGCAAGTTTGCACTAACATTATCACAATTTTTTAGGAAATAAATATTAATTAAAAAAATTGACAATTTATTAAAAATAAAGACTATTTTTTTATAAGAAACAGATAAATTATGTAATTATAAGTTTATAACTGATTTAGGTTACAAATAAACAAGTGTGTTTTAATATTAAGTGAGATGCGATTTAAATTACATACCATTTATTAGTTACATTAAATAAATTATTTTAAACTAATTTGGATCTTAGATTTAGATAATCTATACTTTATTAAATACAAAATAAAAAATATACAAGAAATGGATGAAATATGTAATTTATAAGTGATTTGAGTTACAAATAAATAACTTTTAATATTAACTATGCAAAGATGTTGATGTAATTACATATCTTAGCTGCATTAAAAAAAATTAATTTAAGTTTTACATTTGAACAAATTTTAAACAATTTAAAGGAAAGCAAAAAAACACTACAATGAAGTGGCATGTGGGATTCGAACATGACCACAGTTCCTACGAGTGCGCTACTTCTACCGTTGGGCTACAACACTCTTTCATATAATTTAGGATTTTAAACATTATTATACTATACATATGACAATGATATATGTACACAAATAAAATTTTATATATATATAATGGGGTTGGGTGGGGGTTGAGTGGGGGCAGCTGCCCCCCTGCCCCCATAGTAGATACGCCCCTGATGACAAGTAAGCATAGACGTAGTATTAAAGTAAAATCATTTGAGTTTCTTCCAAGATAATGCTAAATAAAAAATTATTTACCAAATTAAGATTGAATTGAAAATATTTATCAAAATATTTCTGGGAAGAACCGTACGTGGTTAAGGAAAATTACATTTCGCGACCATACGAATTGCGAACTACTCGTAAATAATAAATAATCCAACTCTAATTTGGTAAATTATATTTTATTTAGCATTGTTTTGGAAAATTAACTTTTTTTTGTCCTATTAACACATATTAGCGGCAGGTACCATATTATTGCATGTACTTTCATCATTGTCAATACACAAATTTAGTCATTAATATAGTTAATTAACAATTTAGTCATAAAAAATGCCTTGGTATCTTAGCAAACTTATAGACAATTTAAGAGTTTTTGACACTTTTAGTCATTTGATTTTTAGTCATTTGATTTGATGATTTATTATTTTTATTAAATTAGAGTAGATAAATATATAGTACAATAGTCAAACTTTTATAACTAATAAAAAAATATCTGTAAAAGCCCATTTTTTATAGATATTTACGTCATCTTTGAGCATTAATTACAGGATTATATATAAGAGTTATTATCGGTGTATCCCATTTCTACACCTTCTGTGTGGTCATAAGAGCCCATTTTTTAAATTCATTGTCCCATTTTCATTACCCGCTTTTGTAAATCACACAAATAGAAGAGGCATACCCCAAAATGGGAAACCTATAATATTTTTCTATATATAAACTTGATCCAAAGCTAAGTTATGGAGCATTGGGGCCTGAGATAGCCACTTCATGTTTGTACCAGAGGATAGGTCAATGCAATGTGGTGATCAAAATTGACTCAGAGATGGCCGTTGAACCGTCAAATACTTGCAACTTTGCAAGTGGCCGGCCATGTTGAATACAAAAATTTTCTTTGTACCCACTCTTATACCCACTTTTGTACACATCTATGTTTGTGAAGTGTTTTTTTCTGTGAACCCCGGCTCACAGACAATATTTTGCACAAACAAAATATTTTTTGTGAACCCGGGTTCACAGACAAAAAAAAACCTCCACAAACATGGTGGGTATAAAGTGGGTATAAAAGTGGGTACTCAAGCATTGTTGTGTTGAATATGGTTGTTTAATAGTTAGGACATGTTTACTTCACGGGTTATTAAACGGTGCTTACTAAGACCCGCGTTAATAAGCGACGCATAAAATAAGCAACGTTGTAAGATCGTGTTTATTTCACAAGGTTTAAAACATCATTTAGCATTAAAATGTCCAAAATAACCCTATACATATATAGACACACAAACATTCATGAACACAAGTATTATGTGTACCCATACCCCCAACCCCTTACCCCCACCCTACCTTACCCCGACCCCACCCTTAGGCCCTTACCACCCTACCCTTACCCCCTACCACATCAGCCCCACCTCGACCCCACCCTAACCTACCATACTCCTACCCTACCCTACCCCACCTTACCTTTACCCCACCACTACCCCGTCCTCGGCCCCTAGGCCCTTACCACCCCACCCACTTACCCCCTAACCCCCTACCATACACCCTATCTGACAAATAGTTTAACATCTATTTGAAAACATTACTTTTTTTTAAAACAAAAAAGAAAATGGAAAATTGTTTTCTTGATTATTTGTAAGCCTTCCATGTAAGCTAAAGGAGTGTTTGTGACTGCTTCAACTTTAAAAAAATGATTTCTTAAAGTGATTTTAGACAAAGTGCTTAAAAGTAAAAATTGATAGTGTTTTATAACAAAAGTGATTGTAGTAGAAAAGTTAAATAGGAGTGTTTGATGAAAAAGTGAATTTTGATTTAATACTCCTTAGTTTGTAAAAGTACACAAATGCCCTTATTTGAATTAAATAGCAAATACGCAATTACGCATGTTATCATCTATGGAGCGATTCCCCAGGACTCCCTCAATCTGAGTTATTTCCCATGATTGTTTACATAGAGGCTTGATATTTGCAAAATGCAGACTTCCAGCCCAGGATCAATTTCAACTAGCTAGAAATTTATTTTTGAAATCGTTGGCATATTTAAAGGGTTATTTGTCAATATTATTTGATTGCAGGCATGTGTGATTTTGTCTCAAATCAAGCAAGGCCGCTCATATTCCTCATCTTCAGAACAAACTCATAAATTTCCAAAGGGTCTGCGAGGTTGTTGGAGATGGCCTTATTTTGTAGGCACCTTTTGCCCCATTCTAACATCTTTGGACACTCGCTCTCCATGTTGAGCTTTAAATCGTTCTCAAAAGCCAGAAGCCATGTATAGTATGACACCAAAACTAAGTCCAAGAACCCAATGCTCTCCCTCCCTCCAAAATAAGGCTCATCTCCTAGCTCCCCTTCCAACACCTTCAGGCTGTCTACTAGTTCCTCTTTAATGGCTTTTTCATCTTTCGTTTTGAACAACCATGCCTTCAAGCTCTCATAGATCTGCATCATTAATAAAAATTTGTCTCTATACACTCAACCATTAATGGATTGATAGAATATAATGAAAACTGACCGGAAAAGAAAGTGTGTGAGAAAATGAAATGACCAAATTGAACCTAAACATAACCGCCCGACCAAAGTTATTTGGATCGATTTCGAGTACTTGCTTTTTCGCGGAAGAAACGGGAGTGCGGGAGGCAGTAGCTCAAAGGCAGGGCTAGGGAGTGTGTCATTATCGAGACAGATGCGCAGGTGATTATATCAAGATTGGAAGATGGCATAGGAGGTTCATATTTGGATACAATTATTGATGAT